AATTTTTTACAGTGTCTTGCTATGCAGTTCAGACTCATAGTGACCCTCTTGTCTCAGCCTCCCCAGTATGGGAGTACAAGTGCATGCCATTATGCCAAGTTTTAGGGCCAGCTCAGCATGCTGTATCAGAGCTTGAATTTGGATCCTTGCACTTGCCAGGCAGGAGCTTAGACCCCTGAGCTATCTCCCCAGCCCTACAAATACAAATATTAAAAAAAGATGTTAAAATTTTTGTAATTCAGTTTTCAGCAAACCTGGAAATATTGAATCTTCTAAAACAGACCTTACAGATATTCAGAAAGTGCATGCATTTCTCACTAACAGGGCCATCTAATTTTCAAAAGCTCTGTTTCTATAACAAAATTGAAGTATTAAAGACAGAATAATGATCTCTTCTTAAAAATTAGGCTGAACATAAGGTCAAACATTGTCTTGTTCACTTTTGTATCAATATCATCTGAGATAGCTCAGGAGTGAATGAACAGAAGGCAAGAAGGTAAGAAAAAGGGAAAGAAGAAGCAGGAGAGGAAGAGGAAAGGGAAGAGAAGAGAGGGAAAGGGATTATTCATTCACTCCTAGGCTATTTCACATGCTATCGATACAAAAGTGAACAAGACAATGTTTGAACTTATTTTGAGCCTAAATTTTATGAGAGAGGTAGGGGGGGAAAGAAGAGGAACAAGAAGGGGGACAGAAAGAAGAGGAAGACAGGAGAGAGGAGGGGAGGAGAGGAAAATTTTTTGATCTTTGCACATTTTTTCTTATGTGATAGCAGTCATTAATGCCATAATTATAGTATAGGAAGATAGATGTTTAATAATTTGCAGTTACAGTAAAGTTACTTTGCTGAAACATAGTGCTCACTGTTACTATTACTCTAGTACTAAACTTGTTAAAATTGAAATGTAAGATAAAGCATGTAACATGTTTTACTTGTATACACAGAATGCTCATAAGTTCCAGTAACTGTGTAGAATAATATGAAGGGATGATATTTTAAGCATAGTATCAGTCTTAAATTCCTAAGTAAGCCTGAAAAAACAACAAATTATAAAACAAAGAAACAAATTTTCAAAGAAAAAAAGTTCTTCGTATATTTCTGCACACAAGTGGAGGAGAAAGAGTACAAATAATATTGACCTTACTCTTTAATTTAGAATCCCAGCATCTTGGCATTGAAATGGGGTGTGAAAGGTCACTTGGTGAATAGCCATCATCTTATTACTGGACCATGGATGCCTAGAGAATAGAATTCTTTTCTCCTGTTAGTGACAAAGCTACAATTCCAGTTGCAAAATTTCAAGTGGAATTTGTACACTTTATGTTTTTTTATCATTTGCATTACCAGCATTCTAAAAAAACAAAAACAAAAAAAACCTTAAAAACAATGCAACCAAGATAGGTAATCAAGAGAGAAGGACTGACTTTTTTTTATCTTTGATCCCTTTTGATGGGGAATCTATTTCTCGATCACACAGTCTACATTATTGAATTAATCATATCTGCTTAAAATTTTGAACATTACAGGAAGAGATATTGAGGCCAAAATAAAAATCACAATTTTGTATCTGAGGATACACACTAGGGTTAAACTAATTTTCATACAGTAGGACTGAAACTAAGCATGAATTGATGGCATTTAAATATTTAGTACTTCTGTCTTTTTAATTATGTTTAATTTTCTCTCTTTCTCTGACTTCCATTTCAACCTTTTCCTCCTCTTTTCCTTCCTTGCCTTTTTTAATTTTTAGTCTTTATTTATTTATTTATTTATTTATTTATTTATTTGATATGGGGTTTCCCTATGTAGCTCAGACTCGTGGTGATCCTCCTGCAGGGATTACAGGCATGCACCACCACACCTGGTTTTGGTGGCCAGCACAACACACCCAGTATTCTGGGGCCAACACAGCATGCAGTACTGGGGATCAAATCTGGGTCCTTTAGCTTGCCAGTCAAGTACTCAGACTGTCTAGCTATCTGCCTCACCCACCTTCCTTGGCTTTTCTTCTTCCCTCCCTGCCTCTTTCCCATTTTGGTTATTCCATTTAGGATTATTTATTTGTTGGGATCCATAAAGTGATAAAAATTTTAAACTTTGAAAATTTTAAACTTTGAAAATTTTAAACAATGAAAGCTAAGCATCTGCAGCTCTGTGTTGTCTTTTGAAAGTATTTAACCATCTGCCTTTAGAATACAATTTTGCTTTGTACAGGACTTTGGAACTCACTACTTTGTTTCTGAATCCCTGATTGGATATGACTCCGTACTAGTTTAGCAGTGAGGAACTTAAAAACTTCAGGTACATTTTCTTCAACTTTTACTTTTTAAGTTGGTATAATACATTTTTTCATATTATAAAAATGACTTTTCTCCTACTCTATCAGTTTAATCATTTCCTTCGTATTTAATAAATTAAATCTGGGGCCAGGGAGATAGCTCAGTAGAACAAGTCCCTGCTTGGCAAGCGCAGGGTCCTGAGTTCAATCCCCGGTACCACAAAAGAAAAAAAAATAAATAAATCTGCTTTATTTTCAAAATGATAATAAAGAACACTTAAAAGTATACATACTCAAATAAATAAAGTCAAAATAGAAAAGTAGAAACAAAATGAAGAAAAAATAAGCATGCTTACTCTCTGTGATTGTGTTACAGGGAGGAAAAACTGGTCTTAGGTGGGTGACCTCCAAACCATATAGGTAACCTCTAAATGACATAGAGAAAAACAATCTCTGGACCTGATCTGCATGAGTTTTTGTTCTCTAAAACCAAAGAATGAATTTTAGGAACAAACGGAGGTTATGAGCAGAATATATTTATTGAGAGAAAGAAAGCTCCTGTCCAAGAGAGGAACAGGAGGGGGGCCCCCAAGCTGGTAGTTCCCCCGGCAAGCTGTCTCTTCCAGGGATTTTTATAGTGTAAAACCATGTGAGGCTAAGGTAGAGAGAATGGGAACACGCTTAGGTGGGCAGGAGGTGGGACAAAACTATGGTCAACCAATGGGATTACAAGCACCATTACTCAGGTAAAACTTATTAAATCCAGTATCAAATGGGAAAGCAACAGCAAGCGGCATGAATAGGGAACAGGGTCTCTTCCTGTTGGGGGTTGGGCTAGTGACTCATTTGGGCTCTTTCAAGTTGATTGATACTATTTAGAATATCAATCCCTAATACCCATCCCTAGGGAAGTATGTAGCTGTGCTTCCTCTTTTTGTCTTGCTCTTGAGGTGTGGCCCATATGGGAGTGTCTGTCTCTTCCAAGTTGCAAAGTCACCTTGTCATCCATCTTGTCTCTTTGAGGGCCTGGCCCTGTCTGACTGCCTATAATATTTCTGTCTAACTCAGCTGCCTGCATCAATTGGACATCATATTCATCTATGAGTTCATCTAGGAACATAATCAGCTACACTGTGGTGATTACCTGAAAAGGAAAATGGGTACAAATATTCTGAGAAAACAAAGACTGTCCTAGAACTAAGTTCTCAAAGATAATTTACTTATAGAATTTTCATATGAGTCAGTTTCATAGAGCAATAATTTATAGAAAATTCAGTAGCCATCATTTTCTTTAAAAGATTTTAAGAAAAGCCAAGGGCATAGGATAAAAGAATATAGAGAGTTAATAAGAGCTAAATTAGGGCTGGGAAGATAGTTCAGCTGTAAGTACCTGCCTAACAAGTGCAACGACCCCTGTTCATCCCCAGTGCTGCATGCCCTGCCAGCCCTGACCATGTATGAGATAAATAAATAAATAAATAATAAAAAATGATAAATTCATGTAAGCTAGATACACACTACTGGTTATAAAGCATGAAGCTGAACATGGAAGTATTTTTACTTGAGGAAAGCTTGCGACTTTATATCTTGAAGTATAGAGGAGATATTTTTCTGCTTGCATACAAAACAACCTAAACAAAACCATTTCTACCATAAGTATTCATCTTAAATTGTTAATGTTAATTATCATGGTAGTTTAAGCACCTTTGGATAAATTTGTTTTCAGCCTCCTGTGTGAAACAAATTAACAGTTGAGATTACCTATTGGTTTCTCTTAAAAGCAAAATTAGGAAAATGAATAGTAATCATACTGGAACCCATCAGCTTCCCAAAAAAACCAGAGTTGTTCATCATTAAACTGTTACACAAAGTAAATAGGAATTTACTTTAAAACACAACGTCAAGCCAGTCCTAGAGCCAACTGAGTCGCAATCCTTCTCCTCTTCGAGCTCACTGTGGCAAACCCTAACATTCCGTACAGCTGTTGAGTTCTTCCAGAGTTTAAGGGATCACATTTCCCTCATGATCTCCACTCTAGGAAGGAGGATGAATGGATACTTTTCAGAGGTATTTTCAGTAATAAAATATTTTTTTAGCATGACACATTTACTAAAATTCAAAAGGTTTGTTCTATGATCAGCTTCCACACTGCTTGCTCCTTGTAGTTCATTTAATTTATCTTTTCTATTAGAGCAATGCTTCAATGCTAAAGTGGACATTTTCTTAAACTGAAAATAGTATTAGTGCTGAGCAAAAATATTCGGGGAGAAATCCATGCTTCTTGGTTTCATCTTACTCTTCACTTGAAATTGTTCTGGTCAGCAACAATGGAGCCCAGACAATAATTTCCCACTTGATAAGTACATTCATTGTGCATTTAGTCATGAATACTTACAGATCAAGATAGCTAAAGAATGCAGTGTGTTAATTATTGAAACTGTCTTACCAATTTAATTTGAAACTCTCTCATTGCTATTTGTTTATCAATAAAATTATGGAAAAATAAATAAATAAACAATTGAAAATGTTTAAAAAAAAAAAGATAGCTAAAGAACTGTGTGATTCTTTAATCAACTACCCAAAGTTTCAATAGTTGAATTTTTTTTTTTTTTTTTTTTTTTTTTTTTTGGCAGAACCGGGGATTGAACTTAGATCCTTGCGTATGTCAGTCAAGCGCTTATCCTACTGAGCCATCTCCCCAGCCCCTCAATAGTTGAATTAATAAGGAAAATGAATAACAAATATGCTCACCTCCCTCTGTCTGTAAAGGTAGAAATTGAAAACACATACATAAATGAAAAAAATAATACTAAGTTAATATTAGGTAATTCATTGTTATATTATAAATAAAAGATAGATAAATGAAAGAAAGGGAAAAAGAGATATGATAGAAAACCAGAAATGTACATATCCATATACATTTATACTAGATATATGAATTATATATGTGCACTATATATAGTATTTAAAGTGTATATATGTACAATTTATATGTGGGTATTGTATTCCACATATTTGATGAGATAGTCAAGATTCTCCTGAATATATTTATGTTCAGTAAGAATATATATTCTCTGAGTCACAATAATAGTAATATTGTATTTTGTTTTTTACAGTCATAAGTGTTGATCATTAAATGAAGCATATTAACACAGAAACCAAGCACAATAGACTGGGATCCTCCAATAAGTGACCATGCTTGTTAGACTCATTCTTTAGATGCACATAAATCCTGGTCTCTTTTCTTTCTCCTTTTCTATTCCTTCTCTCTTTACTTAGGCATAAGATAAAACTACAGCACATTTTTTCATTTTTGTTAAACATCATGCAATGAATTATATACCTTTTCATTCCTTTAAAAAATAATTTCAATGTTTCATAGGACTTCCTTCAAGAACAAAACAAAATAAAATTGCTTTTGTTTGCTTCCTTTGGCTTATTTCTCTATTGTTCAGTATCCACCATAAATTTAAAACCTTGGATGAAAGTTGACATTATTTCAATGTGCAAGGTAAAAATAATGCCAAAAATACAATGGAAACATTAAAGCATTACAGTATTACTTTGCACATTGTAGTAATTTTAAACTTCTTTTGTTGGAAAGTTATCTTCTGCTCTGAATTTGCAATGAAAATTATTCAGTGAGTGATTTGCTGGTGTGATATTGTGACTTGCACTATGAAGTTGCTCAGTCAATGAAGCTGAGGACACACAGTCAAGGCACCGGGCGTTTATGTGAGCAGGTGGCAGAGTTCCAAGCAGCTCCTTAGTTCCTAGGAAAGCAGGCAGGAGGTGACAGGATGTGTCTTCTCCAAAACTCCCTGATGAAGCCATGATATTTTAATTACCAGGTGGCCAAAACCACAAGTGGGACTCACCCTTCAGAGCTTTCAGGATTCACATATATCCCTCCAAAGTGAAATTACATTCATACATAACTAATTAGTCACACAAATTTAATTTTTACTTCTAATTAATAAAGCTTAATGAAAGAATCAGAAAAAGAGTCATGCACTATAAATGCATTAAGTTCCCAGCACAGCTTGAAAATTTGACGGACCCACTTGTGAAAATAATGCTGTTACAAGAAAATTAAGTGTATTTATTCAGCTAGACTAAAATCGCTAATATTTTTTTTGTTAGAAAGAAGCTGCAAGGTAAACATGAGGGTTTTAGTGCCAGCTAATAATACATCTCCTACATGTGCCAAACCCATTTTAAAAAGTGAAGAGGGCACATGCAGCTCATGTCTACTGACCTCATTTCTCAGCCTCTGGGCTGCACTTCAGCCTCACACCTGATCAATTCCCCAAGCTCTGAAACACTCTTCCTGCTTAGTGTAGCCTGTAACTTAAATCTCAGTGCAGAATAAGGTAGATTGCTTTGAAGGTGCATAAATACTGATACAAACAATATATTCTTTCATGTACTTTTATAGTGAGAGGTAATTTTTCATTAAATATCAATAGATTTTTTTTTAATTTCAAATTTCTGCAGTGAGTTGGGTGGCTTGGAGTGTTGTTCATAACAAACACATATGCATTCCTATTGGATTGTCCCAGCTAGGGAGCAGCAACTAAGCCTACCAGTGTGCTGGACCTGTTTTCCTGCACTGTGATCCTCTTAGAGAATTAGAAGTCCCTAGCAATGACTGTAGGCACTGTGCCTGGGATGACACAGATATCAAAATCTTGAACCAATGATGACTGAAAATTTGGCAAAGGACAAGAACAATGAGGTCTAAAGGAATCATAATGGCCTGGCCTGAGCCTAGAGCATCTGGGGTTGATATCCAGAAGAAGTTGACACTGAGGCAGGGGATATTGCTCAGTGGCATAAATGCCTGCCTGGCAAGCACAGAGTCCTAAGTTCAATCCCTGGTGCTGAAAAAAAGAAAAAGAAGAAAAAAAAGAATAAGAAGAGGTTCACACTGGGCACCCAGAATGTTGTCAATCCCAGCCACCCCAGCTGCAGATGTGGGAGTGAGGCAGTACCAACCTCCCTGAGACATCAGAGAATCAAG